AACATGAAACGAATCACTGATATACTTCGGGAGAATAGAAACATGAAATACTGGATGCACACTCGACAAGCTAGGTGGCAAGGCAAGCTTGTAAGCCACCTCTCCAATCCTTTGAAGTACCTCAAAAGGCCCAACGAACTGAAGGCTCAACTTGCCCTTCTTCCCGAACATCATAACACCCTTCATGGGTGAAACCTTCAGAAGAACCTTCTCCCCAACCATATAAGACACATCACGGACCTTCCTGTCGGCATAACTCTTCTGTCTCGACTACACCGTGCGAAGCCACTCCTGAATTAATTTAACCTTCTCCAAAGCATCCTGAACCAAGTAAGTACCCAATAGCCTAGCCTTGCCCGGCTCAAACCAATCCACCGGAGATCTACACCGCCTCCCACACAAAGCCTCATACTGAGCTATCTGAATGCTCGACTGATAAATGTTGTTGTAAGCAAACTACGCGAGCGGCAAAAACTGGTCCCATGAACCCCAAAATTAATGACACAAGCGCATAACATGTCCTCCAATATTTGAATAGTGCGCTCGGACTGTCCGTCCGTTTAAGGGTGAAATGTTGTGCTCAATTCAACCTGGGTGCCCAACTCTCACTGTACAGCTCTCCAAAACTACGATGTAAACTGCGTGCCTCTAATTGAAATGATGGAATATGGCACACCGTGAAGGCGAACAATCTCTCTGATGTAAATCTCAGCCAACTGATCTGAAGAATAGTACTCACTAGAATTAAGTGCGCGAACTTGGTCAACCGATCCACAATCACCCAAATAGCATCGAACTTTCTTGAAGTCTGTGGGAGCCCAACTACGAAATCCATGGTGATCCGCTCCCACTTCCACTCCGGAATCTCTATCCTCTGAAGCAATCCACCCGGTCTCTGATGCTCATATTTTACCTGCTGACAGTTGAGGCACCGAGCAACAAATCCAACTATATCCTTCTTCATTCTCATCCACCAATAGTGCAGCCTTAGGTCCTGGCACATCTTTGCGGTACCCGGATGGATAGAATACCGCGAGCTGTGGGCCTCCTCAAGAATCAACTCCCATAGCCCATCTACATTGGGCACACATATCCGACCATGCATCATCAACACCCCATTATCTCGAATAGGCACATCTCTGGCATCATCGTGATGGACCTTGTCCTTGAGGACAAGCAAATGAGGATCATCATACTAGCGCTCTCTGATGCGATCAAATAAAGAAGACTGAGAAACCACACAAACTAGAACCCGACTGGGCTCCGAAATATCCAATCTCACGAACTGGTTGGCCAAGGCCTGAAATCAACTACAAGAGGTCTCTCACCAACAGGAATGAATGCAAGACTACCCATACTCATTGCATTTCTACTCAAAGCATCGGCCACCACATGGCCTTTCCCGGATGATACAAAATGGTAATATCATAGTCCTTTAACAGCTCCAACCATCTCCACTGCCTCAAATTGTGAACCTTCTGTTTGAACAAGTGCTGGAGGCTATGATGATCAGTAAATACTTCATAAGACACACCATAAAGATAGTGCCTCCAAATCTTTAATGCATGAACAATGGCAGCCAACTCCAAATCATGAACGTGGTAGTTCTTATGGGGCTTCAACTGACGCAAAGCATAAGCAATCACTCTACCCTCCTGCATCAAAACACACACAAAACCGATCCGAGACGCGTCACAATATACTGTATAAGAACCAGAAGCTGATGGTAGAACTAGAACTGGAGTTGTGGTCAAGGCAGTCTTGAGCTTCTGAAAGCTCTCCTCACACTCGTCCAACCACCTGAAAGGAGCACCCTTTTGGGTCAATTTGGTCAAGGGCGATGCAATAGATGAGAAACCCTACACGAACCGACGATAATAACCAGCCAAACTAAGAAAGCTCCGAATCTCTGTAGCTGAGGACGGTCTGGGCCAACTCTGAACCGCCTCTATCTTCTTCAGATCCACCTGAATACCCTCACTGGACACCACGTGTCCCAAGAACCCCATTGAACTGATCCAGAACTCACACTTGGAGAACTTGGCATAAAGCTTCTCCTCCCTCAACCGCTGCAACACAACCCGCAAATGTTGGGCATGCTCCTCATGGCTACGAGAGTACACTAGGATATCATTAATGAACACAATAACAAACGAGTCGAGATAAGGCTTAAATCCACTGTTCATCAGATGCATGAACGCTGCTGGGCATTGGTCAGCTCAAAAGACATCACAAGGAACTCACAATGACCATAACGAGTCCTAAAAGTTGTCTTAAGAATGTCCGAGTCCCGAATCTTCAACTGGTGATACCCTAACCTCAAATCAATCTTGGAGAATATCCTCGCTCCCTGAAGTTGGTCAAATAAATCATTAATACGCGACAAAGGATACTTGTTTTTGATTGTGACTTTGTTCAACTGCCTATAATCAATGCACATCCTCATAGAGCCATCCTTTTTCTTCACAAACATAATCGGTGCACCCCAAGGTGACACACTAGTCCTAATAAACCCCTTCTCAAGGAGTTCCTGAAGTTACTCCTTCAACTCCACCGACGCCATATGGTACAGAGGAATAGAAATGGGCTGAGCGCCCGGCACCAAGTCAATACCAAAGTTAATATCTCTGTCGGGCGGCATGCCCGGCAGGTCTGCAGAAAATACATCTGGAAACTCTTGCATCGCTGGAATTGAATCAATAGTAGGGTTCTCTGCACTAACATCCCTCACAAAGGCCAAATAAGATAGACAACCCTTTCCAACCATCCGTTTGGCCTTCAAGTATGAAATTACCCTACTGGGAACATAGTCTAGAGAACCTCGCCACTCAATCCGTGGCAACCCCGGCATCGCCAGTGTCACGGTCTTAGTGTGACAATCTAGAACAACATGACATAGAGACAACCGGTCCATACCCAAGATCACATCGAAATCAACTATACTAAGCGACAATAGATCAACCCTAGTCTCCAATCCCCCAACAGTCACCACACACGACCGATATACACGGTCCACAACAATAGTATCGCCCACCGGTGTAGATACATGAATAGATGAAACTAGAGACTCACGAGGCATATCCAAATAAAGAGCAAAATACGATGACACATATGAATAAATGGAACCAGGATCAAATAATACATAGGCATCCCTGTGGTAAACTGAGACAATACCTGTGATCACTGCATCTGTAGCAATGACATCTGGTCTGGAGGGAAGAGCATAGAATCGAGCCTGACCGCCACCTGATCGGCCTCCCCCTCTAGGGCGACCTCTAGCTGACTGGGCTGGTGCCATCGGCCAAGAACTCTGATGTGGAGTCCCACTCAACAACCTAGGGCAATCTCTCTTGATATGACCAAGATCCCCGCACTCAAAACAACCCACCCTATGGAGGAACTGTTGCTCCTGATACCCCGAGGAACTACCCGTAGAAACCTGAATAAATGAGGCATAGTGAGAACTCTACGCTGGTAGTGCAATGAATGAAGACTGGCCTGAACGAGCAATGTGAGAACCGTGGCTGACTGATGCACCACGATGAGTTGGTCGAGTCGTCTGAGCATGCCTGTAAGGATGACCCCTGTCGTGGTGGAACTGACCCCCTGAAGGAACACCACTAAAACCACCTGATCCTCGAGACCTCTTGGCCTCCCTCTCAACCCGCTCCTGGCTACGGACCAGCTCTATCTGCCGAGCAATGTCAACAACCTCCTCAAAGGTAGCACCAGACACTCTATCTCTAGTCATAAACACCCGCAGCTGAAATGTGAGGCCATCAATGAACCTCCTGATTCTCTCCCTATTAGTGGGAACCAACCAAACTGCATAACGGGCCAACTCAGAAAATCTCATCTCGTACTGCGTCACAGTCATATCATCCTGACGTAACTTCTCAAACTGCCTACGCAACTCCTCTCTGCGGGACTGCAACATGTACTTCTCCAAGAAGAGAACAGAGAACTCATGTCACGTATGTGGCGCTGCACCGACCGGCCTACGCCTCTCATAAGCCTCCCACCAGGTCAAGGCAGCCCCAGTAAACTGCAAAGTAGTGAACAAGACCCCACTGGTCTGTAGAATACCTGATGTACGGAAAATCCTCTGACATCTGTCCAAGAAACCCTGGACATCCTCCGACTTTGCCCCGCTGAAAGATGGAGGCTGAAGTCTACCAAAACTCTCTAGCCTCCGATGCTCATCATCAATCATAACAAGGACCACATGGGCCTGAGCAGCTGTCACCGGCTGGGCTGGTAGTGCCCACGGTGTCTGGAGTCCCTGCATCACCTGCTCGGGTGTGCGGGCGGCGGGAGTCTAAGTACCTCCCTCGCTTGAAAAGTGGCTGCTGCGGCCGGAACTGCGACCGCCTGAGCAAGACTGGTGCACACAATCAGAATATGAGTTAAGGCCTCCTGAAGGCCTGGAATCACGATGGGCACGGGCGGTGCCTTAGCTGGCCCCACTGGCGCATCCACAACTGGACCTGCTCCTGAACTGGGGCAACTGGTGGATCTGCAGGTGCTGCTCTAGCTGTTGTACGAGCTGCACCTCTGCCCCTTCCACGGCCTCTACCTCTCGCGGCCCTGACTGGTGGTACTGGTGACTGTCCGTCCTACCCAGTAGTACGTATCCTCACCATGCATGAGAGAATAGAATAACAGAAGTTTAGTTACCAGAATCAACAGATTCACATGACAAGAATTCAAGAATGTGAAATTTCCTAAGGGTTCGGCAGCCTCTCGAAAATAAATACAGACGTCTCCGTATCGATCCGCAACTCTACTAAACCTGCTCATGACTCGTGAGACCTATATAACCTAGGCTCTGATACCAACTTGTAATGACCCAAATCCTAACCTGTCGTGATGGTACCTATTGATGGTGCTAGGCAAGGCAACAATTTCCAAAGTGCTACCAAAATTTAACAGAAAACAAATCAAGAAAATTTGAAATAAGCAAGGTTTTCATAAACAGGGGTGAAACCCAAAACACAATGCAGAAAATAACTCCCAATATCGGGGTGTCACTATGTCATGAGCGTCTATACATAGTCAGTCTAGAAATGAAACGACTATAACAACTTGGATCTAAATACAACGAAAGAAATAGATGAGGAAGGAGAAAACAAGGTCCGCGAACGCCAGGCAACAGCTACCTCACAATCTCCAATGGTCAGCTACAAGAACTATCAACACCCTCCGCGTCCAGAAACTCCTGGATCTGCACATGAAGTGCAGTGTGTAGCGTGAGTACAACCAACTAAGTAAGTAACAATAATAAATAAGGAACTGAAAGTTAGTGACGAGCTACACAGTTATAGTTCATTTTCAGTAATCTCAGCAAGAAGTAGACATGCTTTCAAATCCGGCAATTTAAGTCAAATCAGTTTTATACATTTTCAAGTTCAAGTAAAAATCGGATATAAAATCTTTCAGAAATTTCAAAACAATGATAGATAACAACTAAGTGCAACAACAAATGAAAGCAAGTACAACCTCTTAGGGAAACAGTCACTCAACTCTTCTCAACAACTCAATCACTCGGCTCTCAGCCCTCAGCCCTCAGCACTCAATAGGTACATGCGCTCACTGGGGTGTACAAACTCTGGAGGGGCTCCTACAGCCCAAGCGTTATAATCCGCACGGACAACTCACGTGCTATAATATCATATCAAGATCCGCACGGACAACTCACATGCTACAATATAAATGTCTGGATCCGCACGGACAACTCACATGCTACAATATAAATGTCTGGATCCGCACGGACAACTCACGTGCTATGGTATCAATATCTCACCATCAGTCCCTCGGCCTCACTCAGTCATCAACCTCTCTAGTCTTTCGGGCTCTCAGAAATCTGAAAAATCAGCCCAAACAGCAATAACATGATGTATTAATAAGAATAACAGAGACTGAGAAAGAAGTTTCAGTCAGATTGTTCATGTTTATGTTGCTGGTCCAACTAATACAAGAGTAGATGCCACGATTGGATAAAATTAAATTTTAACGCCTGTAGTTGAATATACATATTCCATCTGGAAATCCATTGGGAAAAGAAGAAGAAGAAAACCAAGCTAATCATAAGATAGAACACCAAGCTAAATATAGGATGATAAATGCCAAAGCAAAAGAGAGAGAGGGGGCTAGCCTGAAAATCAAACCAGCATGGAAAGAGTTCTAATTGTATAGAATGGTACTATGTCTAATAAATAAGAGTAGAAGAAGGCAAACATTCTTAAAGCACTTTGTATTAATTATCCCAAACGTTAAATATATGTAGAATAGATTATTTGTACTCTGTGACAGTAATTTTCAAAATATTACAGAAAGTAAGAAGCTCATACTACTAACCGCTCATAAATTATTTAGATGATCCAGATTTTCTAGAGCTGAGCTGCACCATTGCATCTCTAAGAAAAATTAGAGCTGCACCATTTTGCACTCTAAGAAAAATTAGATCGTCCAAACTTGAAGCGAGAAAATGACAGAGACATTCTCAAAAAGTATATTAATATCCGCACATCCAAGTAACATCAAATGAACAGAGGGCTAATTTCACCATAATTTTTGATAAATAAATAATCCTGTAAGAGTTTCATTATTCTTCAATCACTTGAGGACAAAAAACAGAAAAGGAGTTATCACTTATCACATGCCATTTATCCTTCAGATTAGACTATGATATACTTTTCTTCGTTTCAGTTTGCAGGTAAACTTTTACCTTAAAAAATAGTCATCTCCCTTTTAAGTTCTGTTTTTTGCTAATCTCTAGGATAATATGTACCCACGAACTTCTATTACCAAAACCTCAAGGGTAATATATCCAAAACCTAACTACAGGAATCCAAAAGACATGAAAATCTATTAAGTGATCAAAAACATAAGAGCCAGCAAAGCTGATAAGTTCAGCTTTATACTAATTATAAATGATAAATAAAAGCATTGGAAGCAATTCTACTTCACATAAAACCATGAATCAACCAGTCAGGTTCCTTATATCGTTGTGTATTTAGCCAAATTTAGGGAACTAAACAACAGTTTGCTTCTCTACGATCATCAACCTTGTCGTAGAAACATCATAAGAAAATTTTGTTAAGGGTTCACCAAATGAAGCCTTTCTGCTGTGGATCGTTGATTTCATTGAATTGCTCTTTGTTTCTGGGAAAATGATATGTTAACCTGAATATAAGCTATTACAATGGAACATAAGACTTTTTCTTTTGCTTAGGTCAAGAACATTAGAATAAAACTTTAGTCCGTAGTCTTATATATTCTACAATGTCTAAAAAAATCAGATAACATGATAAGTACCACAATCTGGCTGATAACTGAAAAAAACAACATAATATAATTTGAATTATCGTAATCCCACGAGCACAGTAGCTAGAAAAAAAGATGTATGTAGAGGTGACAAACACAAAAACAAGTTTTAGTGTAAAGTTTTTTCAGGTGAATATTTTTTCCAGATAAGACAATGCAATAAAGTTGTTTTTAAATGTTATGCCGGATACAAAGAGTACTTGTATACTGGTTATGACTGCTTAAATACATAACCGAGAAGTAATGAGATTATCGCTAAAAATACACTCAAGGATCCTTGAACCACTAATCATCATTGCAAGAACCTAGGGAGTTCCTACTCGAAGAGCAATCACATTGAAGAAAACCAAATTAATAAGGCAACCAATTGTGCTCATCTTTAAAGTATTCTAAAAAAAATAATGACAGAGAGCAACATACTTAAAGAGATGTCCAAGAAAACAAAATCATCAAAGACATAAAAGCATGATTGGAGGAGACCAGAGAATAATGTCAGCTGTGGACGGAAAAAATATAGAAAAGCAATTTGGTATTTGGTTTTCCATATGCCCATTTCCTCTTCCAGAGGATTATGAGACATTTGTGCAAGAATTCCAGTAAAGCGTTTCTAATTTTGGGTTTGATTCTTTTGACTTGTTTGAGATAATTCTTTATTTCTTTTTCCTCATTTGAATCTCACTGAATTTGAAATCTAATTAAGCTCTAATTCGTTAACATGTATATCTTCAATCCATCAAGCATCAAGTGGTAAGAAGTGCAACGTATTTTTAGAAATTATATCCAAGCAAAATTTAAGAATTCAAATTCTAGAGTTAGCCATATAGATCAAATAGTAGGAAGCCATATTTGAAGAGCTCTGTTTCTTAAAAAGTATAGTCAAGGAGAAAAATATTTGACCAACTATATATTAAAATACAGAAAAGACTTCTCAAACATTCAAGATAAGCAACACCACGTGAAAGTGTTCCTGTGGCATCAAGAAAATGAAGCCCGACATTAAGGTCCGCTTGGACCTCCAAAAATTTTCCCTCTTCTCAAAATCAAAAATTTAGTTTTCATTTCACCAAAATAACCTGTGAGTAAATCAGGCAAGTGGCATCATCGTCCAAATGGATAGTTGTAAAGAAACAATCTAATTCAGCAACTCAAGAAAATATGATTAGGATCTGCATTTTGTTTAACAATATGAAAAAAAAGAAGAAGGAATCATGTGCTGATTGAATTGAAAATAAAAATATCTAATGAGCATGAAGTTAGACATAGCACACAGTGTGCTCTGACCTTCAATCATGTTTGGCAACTTCTTATATCTCTAAAAAAACATATGTATTTGTGCATCTACAAATGTTAAATTTCATAAAATCATATACACATTAAAAAGATACATGTAGAAATGTAATTCAATATCAATTAAAATTTACTAAGCGCTAACTGACAAAAAAATGAGGAGCATACTATGTGGAAACTGCCATCACCTTGGCAATCAAACTACTATTTTTTTTCTGGGAAAACATCTAAGGTGTAATAGTACCAAAAACACCAAGATGAATCACAAAAGATCATAAAATGGTACATTACTCATATAAAGGATAAGCATAACAGTGTCTATGTGTGAGATGACCTCTTACTCTCTTAGCAAGAGCAATTGTAAGTCGATATGGTAAAACAACTTGGCGACACACTTATAAAAACAACTGTCTGTGTAAGAAGCACTTGCCCGGATCCACCTCAATACTTCAACAGATGAATCTCTCTGCATTTAAATGCTTCCTGAAATGTCCAGAAATTTTCCTACAAAAACAAATGATGGCATCATCCCTAATTCCAAGGCCATTAGACAATCTCCAATGCAAAGAAAATGGAGAGAAATCCGAACATATTGCACGAAAAGAGCAAGAAACCAAAAGAACCCACCAAAAGTTTTCCTACAACATAGACACAGAAGTAAGCACATATAAAGTCAACAAAACATAATGCACAATATATTGTTCAATAATTCTGTTACTGGAAAAAAGTAATGTACTACTGAATGAAGATTGTTTATATTATAGAACCCCTACAGAAGAAGAATAGAGTATAAAATTATTCAGCACTTTCAGGCATATAGTCAAACACCATTGCTGCATTAAAGTTCTTCACCTTCCATTACTCTATTTGTTTCTGATAGCAATTCAAAATCTAGAATGAAAAAGTAACCACATGCATGTTCAAAGTCCACCTAGAAAGCATGGAGAAAGAGGAAAACCAAACATATAAATATAAATCAATTCAAAATCATACATGTTGTACCAAAAAGAAAAATAAAGAAAAAAATACAAAAAGAATTTCATTGGCAAATGAAGATTAATAGTCTTTAAAAATAGAATCAAAGATTTACATACTTACCACGAAAGAATAGAGGAAAACTAAGCAGAACTCAGAAATTTCTCTTGCACCGTGTTTAGGCTCTCTGATTGTATCTCGCTAATCAGAAATTCAGGATGCGCGTGTGTTTTGGAGAGAGAACACTACACAAAGAACATGGAACACGGATTACAAGCAAATCCAATAAGAAATACATAAACTCAGAGGAATAATTGAACAACATAAGCTAAACAAGATATTCACCGGAACGCTATTGAACTTAACTCAAAATATAAGTTTCAACTGTAGAGACACCAGAAGAGTAATTAAACTCAAATAAAATTAAAAAAAGAACAAGAGCTCCTTAGGATGACAAATGGGCAGTGAGATGTATCACTCTAAACTACGTGGCGAATCTAATTGAACACGTATAGGCTGTTTGGCAGCTATCGAAATCAGAGTTTAGTTTGAGAGCTGATTTTGAAAAAAAGTACTTTTCAAAAATAAGAAGTGTTTTTGAAAAAGGTATTTTTGGAGAGAAGCATATTGTTTTTGGTTAAACACTCTGAAAAATATTTTTGAGCAATAATTTTTATTTGATCAAGTTTTTAAGAAAGTACTTTTAAGTATCAAATTACGAATAAGGACATGAGTAGATTTACTTAATAGTTAATATTATAATTAAGTAAATAATCTTAAAAATCTATTATTACAAGTAATAATTATTTTTATTTTATTTTATTTAAGTAAAATATGAAAATAAAATTTAAAAGTATTTAATTCTTTTAATATAAGTTAAATATATTAAAAATCATTCAACAAATATAAAAGCATTCACCCCTAAAGTCACTATATATTATAAAGCTATCCTAAAAATAATAAGAAATATTTATACATTAATATCCTAAGTATTAAGTTTAACAGTTATTTTGGTATATACTATATTTTGTTAAGAGTATTTTTGGTAAGAAGAAAAGTCAAAACTGCTTTTGCTTATGCTTTTGAGAAGAATCTACTTTTTTCTGCTTCTTAGAAACTGCTTCTGCTTCTTTCCAAAAGCATTTTTTTTTCCAAAAAAAGCTTGGCCAAACACCTTAAGCTAGAAAAAAAAAGTGCTTTTGAGAAAAAAAAAATACTTTTGGCCTCTTGAGAAGTTTGACCAAACAGAGTAGTCTAGCTTTGTAAGTTGAGGAAAGACACGTTTACAATTTACCCATAAAGTAGTTTCTATATTACGAAACTGTCCTTCGTCGTACTCAAAGGTTTCACTTATTATATAGATAAAATAGAAAATGGTCAAAATTGCCCCTGAACTATGCATTATGGAACACATTTGCCCTCTGTTTAAAGTTGGGGCCATTTATACCCTTCTCGATAATGAAAAGGCCTAAAAATGCCCTTATTGGCTAACGATTCTCACTGGAAAATTAATTTGGATTTTAATTAGCCTTATTAGCATAGAATTGCGACACGTTTCCTAATTAAAACCCCCCAAATCCCCAACCAGGGCCCATCTATTTTACCCACTCCCCTTTTATTTTTTACTACCTTTTAATCTAGTGAATAAAATAAAATCCTCCTCATTTGTATGACACAACCTAACCTCCTATTTCTTATTCCCTCAAAAATTACGCTGCCACTAGGATTTCAAATAAGAGGAGATTCCATTCGAAGAAAGGTTTTTCGATCGGGAATTAGTTTTTGTTCAAAGTTGTTGGGTTAAACCAATTAGTTTTTGTGGTTGGGTTGGGTTAGACAATTAATTTTGTGGTTAGGTAAACACCTGAATGTTATGATGGTTTTAACAATATTTTTTGTGGTTAGTTAAAGTGTTAACTAACTTTTTGTGGTTAGTTAAGGTACTAACCAGTAGTAATATTGGTTATGAATGCTAGTAAATGCAGTTTAGGAATGTCAATAGTTATGTAGTTTATGAATATCCTAAGAAGTGTAGATTTTTGTGAATGTAATTGTCGACGAAAGTGCAGAGTTTTGCCAATGTGAAGGTCATATTTTAGAGCTACTTGAGATGAGAAAATAGAATAGCAAATAGCTTAATGGTTCACCCTGTGCTCGTGAACCTATGTCTTCATATTCTAGGTGGTGTTGTAGTAATTAGCTCTACTATAAATATATTGCTTGCTAGAAGACAAGTTTATCTACTTCCTTGCACAAGATAAAGAAATATGCTTCCCACTTCAACTTTAAGGGTCAAGAAGGTTTACCAATTCAATTAAATGTGCATATCAGTTAAAAATGCTAATTTTTGTCAGTTAAACGTGCAGTTTTTTGTTTCTGTTGCAAAGGTGCAGATTCTTTTATCCATACCTCTATGTTACTTGTTTATTGGTTAACAAGAAAAAATTCAATAATACAATCTTGAAGTACCAATCTCAAGAAAATGGTATTTTATTCACAACAATACAAGGAAAACTTAAGTTTAATATAACGTTATAAACTGAGTACAATCAAAATCACCCTTCTTCAGGATTACATAAGTTGCAAAGAAAATTACGTAAACTTAAAAATGAAAAGATGGTCATTTTATAGCCCAAGCTGCCATGAAAGACACGCAGCAACACACAAGACACCACAATTAATTTTAATTCTTTTTGACAATCTCCCTCTACTTAGCTCTGGCTTCGATCACTTGTAAAAACGTCTTCCGGCATTCGGTGGTGTATAAGCTATGAAATGGTGCGCAACTTCTCCTGTCACGACCTAAAAACAAACCGTCGTGATGACGCCTATCGTGGAACTAGGCAAGCTACTACTTAACCATTTCAACACAGTGAAAAGCTTGAGAATTTTATGAAAGCAGTTAATATTTATGAAACCTTTTAAAAACAGAAATAAATCCACAACGTAATACAAATTTCTCCCAAAATCGGGGTGTCACCGAGTACATGAGCATCTATACCAGGAACAATATACTACAATGTCTAAGGAATAAGAACTGAAATACAAATAAAGATAATGAAGGAGAGTCAAGGCCTGCGAACGCCATGCAGCTACCTCGATAGTCTCCGAAATCAGCTGCACAAATATCAACACCCGTTATGACCGGGAACACCTGGATCTGCACACGAAGTGCAGGGTGTAGCATGAGTACAACCAACTCAGTAAGTAACAATACTAAATAAGGACTGGAGATAGTGACGAGCTACACAATTATAGTTCATTTCCAGTAGTTTCAACAAGGGAAGATAGACATGCTTTCGAATCCAGCAATTTAAGTCAAAGCAGTTTATAAAAGCCAAATTCAGGTAAAAACGGGATATAATATCTTTCAGAAGTTCAAACAGTGATATATGGCAGTTATGTGCAACAACAATGAAAGCAAATATAACCTCTCAGGGCAACAATCACTCAGACTTCCTCAATAGCTCATCACTCGACACTCAGCCCTCAACACTCGCACTCAATAGGTACTTGCGCTCATTGGGGGTGTACAGACTCCGGAGGGGCTCCTACAACCCAAGCGCTATAATCTGCATGGACAACTCACGTGTTATAGTATCATATCAGGATCTGCAAGGACAACTCACGTGCTACAGTATCATATCAGAATCTGCACGGACAACTCACGTGCTATAGTATAAATATCTGGATCCGCATGGATAACTCACGTGCTATGGTATCAATACCTCACAAATAGGCCCTCGGCCTTACTCAGTCATCAACCTCTCTAGTCTCACGGGCTCTGAGTAATCAAGAAAAATCAGCCCAAAACAGAAATGATATAATATATCAACAAGGAATAACAAAGATTGAGGTACAATATGGAAGTAGGACTACGACTGAGTACAAATAGCAATAAGCAGGAAGATTTAACAGGTAACACGACCTCTGTGGGTCCCTACAATACCAACACATAACCTAAGCATGATTAATAGCATAATTTACAGTTAAATTTCTATAACACACGGAGAGTAGATAGCTGACAACAAGTTATTCAATTTTACAGTTCTACGAAATAGACCAAGTCACAATTCCCACGGTGCACGCCCAGACGCCCGTCACCTAACATGTGCGTTACCTCCAAAACAATCACATAACATATAATCCGGGGTTTCATACCCTCAGAACCAGATTTAGAACTGTTACTTACCTCAATCCGAGCCAAACTCTACTCCAATACGCATTTGCCTGACGAATCGGCCTCCAAACGCCACGAATCTAGCCACAACCAGTACAATACAATTAATACAGGCTAAAGGAATCAATTCCACAAGAAAGATATGAAATTATAAGCCAAAATCCGAAATTGGCCAAAAGCCGGCCCCTGGGACCACGTCTCGAAATCCAACAAAAGTCACAAAACCCGAAATCCCATTCGACCACGAGTCTAACCATACTAAATTTGTCTAAATCCGACATCAAATTGCCACTCAAACCCCCAAAATCAATTCTCCAAATCCCTAGCCTCAAACCCCCAAATTTTACTTTAAAAAACACCAACTATGTGGTAAAATCAATGGGGAACCAAATATATTGAATAAAAGTGAACACTAGGAACTTACCTCCAGAATCTCGTCAAAAACCTTCTAAAACATCTCCAAAATCCGAGCTCAAAATGTTAGAAATGATGAAAATTTTGAACCATTCGCTTATATAGGTTCTACCTAGGCTTTTCGCACTTGTGGCCACTTATCCGCACCTGCAGAACCGCTTCTGCGGTTAAACCTCCGCTTCTGCGGAATCCACTTAACTAGTTGCCTCCTCTTCTGTGAGCCATGGACTGCATCTGCACAATCGCAGGTGTGAAAAATTCCATCGCACCTGCACGCCAGCCCGCACCTGCGCCCATCCTCCCGCTTCTGCGCCAACGTGTCCGCATCTGCGGCCTCTACCCAAATCCTTCCTAGCCATTTCTGCGAGCTCGCACCTGCGATGCCCACTCCGCAGGTGCGATTACACCAGCAACAACAGAACTTTAGCTACTTCTCAACTTACTTCCAAGTCCGTTAACTACCCAAAATCAACCCGAGGCCCTCAGGACCTCAACCAAACATACCAACACGTGTTTAAAACATCATACGAACTTAGTCGAATCTTCAAATCACCTCAAACGACATCAAAAACATGAATCGCACCACAATTCAAGCCTAATGAACTTTGAAACTTCCAAATTTTACAAACGATAAACGTATCAAACCACGTCCGATTGACCTCAAAATTTTCACACAAGTCACAATTGACACTACGAACCTACTCAAATGTTCGGAATCAGAATCCGACCTCGATATCAAAAAGTCCCCCCCCCCCCCCCCGGTCAAACTTTCAAAATTCCAACTTTCACCATTTCAAGATTAATTCTACTACGGGCATTCAAATCATAATCCGGACATGCTCCTAAGTCCAA